TTGACCATTTCTGGCCAGCAACTTTCAGCGTCATTAAGCCGCTGCGCCACCGCGTCCCCCAATTGCCTATTACTTTTGGGAATATTGTATTTTTTTAAAATGATCTTTTTCTTAAGGTTTTTACCCTAAAGGGTGAGTTATAAATCTATTCAACCAGGTGACCTGTATTCATTTATTTTACCATTTTATAATTCACTGTATATTAACAAAAGTCAGTGCAGCATAGTTCACAAAATGGGACCATTAAGACAGTAAACCAACAGGTTATTTATTTACTTATTGTTAAGCAAGTCCTGTTGAAAACAGTGGGATTTAGTTCCGAGTAAATATAATCAGGGCTTTATTATTGGAGGTCAAGCCCCAATAAATGACACGGTCTCATTTTTGAATGAGCATGCCTAGAATTGCACAGGATCCTTGGAATTCAAGTATCTTTCAATGATTTCATTCCTCTCTTATACTTGTGCTGTAACAGAGGAGAACCAAAGGCCTTAGCTATATATAGTTTAGTCTGTATATTTTATTCCTTCATGGGAATCGTATGAGAATGGTTTTCATTTGTTACAACGCTGTCACAGAATTCCATTCATTTCAGCAGAATTTCTTCACTTCTTCCAACAGCTTGTAATTTGGTTATTATACTTTATTACTGTATAAATTGAAAATAATAAAACAATACAAAACTGGTAAAAATGATTTTTCATCTTATTTGTTATAAAAGACTAAAATGGTCAGAATGATGATTCAAAACAGAGTAACTTGTCACCCAGATTGAGCGCTCTCTGTTATCCTGATTAAACGGTCAGGACAAGAATAGGGAGAACTGTATAAATGTAGCTACATGAGTTTGAAGTCTTTCTAATCTTCTTTACACAGTTGTTGTAAGGATAAAAAGGAGAGAAAGAAAAACATGCATAATGCACTACCGTGAGTAGTGTATTTTATGCAACAGAAATGTAATAAATAGCAACAAGTTGCTCAAGTTTTATGACCCAAGTAGGGTAATGACACTTAATTACTTTTGTAGTTTATTTTATAAACTGAAGCAGAATGAGTACTGTATAATTAAAGATGTATGTAGGTATTATTAACTAAGCATTTCTCAACCTAGCACTTTCCAGGAGAATGTGAACTGCAACTGGTCATTCTGCTTGGGAATTTTGGGAGTTGCATCTGCAGCAACATTTAAAGTTTGGAGAAGACAGTTTTCTATATTATCAGTACTAATTAGTACTGAAAGTATTAATCTGGTAATATTTGTGTTTAATGGTTGGGTGTTAAGCTTCAATGGTTATTTTAAAAAAATTAAATGAATATATGGGAGAAGCTTAGTTTACACTTGAGTTAGATGTAAATACAGCAGTTTGAGATTATACAACCAAGACACATTGCATACTAGGTGAACCTTTTTCATTCTGTATATGAAAAACATCCAGACCTATTTTTGTGACTCCCCTTAAAATTCATGGCCATGTTTTAATGAAGGTTTAAAAAAGTCCCATTACTATTTAAAATTTCTGACAGTTACATCTAGACCAGGGGTTCCTACCCTTTTTGTTTTATAGACCCCTTTGAGAGTCTGGTGAAACCTACAAACACTTTCAGAGGAAAAAAAAATATTGAAATGCATAAAATATATAGACATAGATGGTGTTACAAAGGAAATCTATTATGCTCAAATCCAGTTATCAAATATGAAAAAATAACGTTATAGTATAATATAATAACATACATATAATATATCCAAGTTCATGGACTCCCTGAAATCTATCCTCAGACCCCCAAGAATCCCTGTTCTAGACAAACATTTAATAAATCAGCAATTGCATGAGCCAAAATGTGTGTTGTGCAGCACAAGTAATTACAGCTTACCCGGCAGGCCTTGTGTCATCAATGGCACGATCAACTGGGATTAAGTCACTGAGGTAGACATTGAAATTCCCTTCATTCCATCTTCTTTTGGCTTCTTCTTCCTTCTCACCTGGGACCTCAGCAGGGCGCCCAAATTGACCAGGTGCTCTGGAGTCTCTTGGGGTAAGGGTCTTATCAAGTGTTAACACTTTGTGCAGCCTACTATTTTCTGTGAAATCCATATTACTCTGATTGGATTTGTGGAATTGCTCATCTGCTAAATGGACTTTGTCAACCTTCCCCAGTTTTCCTCTGGCAAGGATCCCTTCTGTGGTCATGGCTTTAATTAGACCATCTACTTGGGTTGCATTCACAGCTTTCAGCTTATTGCTGCTTTTCTCACCAGTGAGCTGTATATTCTTTCCCATCAATCTAAATCCTTTGGTGCTGGCTTGGAGATGCTGGATTGTTGGAAAGACTACCTGGACCTGCTCCTTGGTTATAAAGACCTGTTGGTTTTCTGAAAGAGCATCCTTTGCTGGATCTATTTTTGCATCCTCCCTGCTTGGCAGGTTTCCTAGAGCTATTTTATTCAGAGAGACTTCCTTCTTCTCTGCTGTTGAGGTATGCAGCTTGCCAGGAGGTAAACCCCACCTTCCTGTGACCTCAGGAGCCTCTACCATTCTTACTATCCCCCCAGTCCTGTTTGCACTTAGGAGACCAGGGCTACCCTCAGGCTTGCTTCCATCGGGGACACCAAGTTTTAACCCAACCAAAGCCCCTTTATCTGTAAATTCAACGTGCAGTAAGACCCCCATTCTTCCCGCGGTCCTCTGAGCAGGCATTTTTGGGGGGACTCGGTTTGGAAGAGTTAGATTGACAGGCGCTCGCTCTCCAGCAGCGGCTGAGTGGGGCTCCCAGTCCCGCCGGGCCAGAGCTGGCTTTGTCTGCCGGGGGTTGCTGGTGGCTCCTGCCCCACTGACGTTCTTCCCCGGGGGATGGGAGAAGGGCTGCGCGGGGGGCCGCCGCCGTTTCAGCGGGAGTCTCTCACGCAGGCCGGGCACTTTCCCGGGCGCTGCTTGGGCCGGGGTGGCGCCGAGGGATAAGCGCTGCCCTCTCCCCTCCGCGCCCTGGCCAGCATCCTCGCTGTCCCTCGAGGGCCTCCCGCCTTGTCCCGGGAACGGCGGGGAAGTCTCCGGCTCCTCTCTGGACCACCTCCCCAGGCCGTTCTCGGGGTTGCGCCAAACTCGCTCTCGCCCCCGTTCCTTCCTGGCCGTCTCCTCTTGCAGCACTTTGGTGTTGCTCTCGCCGAAGGAGAACTTGAGGGCTGCCATGTCAAAGAGCAGCCAAACGACAGAAGCTGCGAAGATCAAAGCCAGGGCTCTCCCGCTGCCTCGGCAGACCTTCCGGATTTTATTCATTTCGGAGAAAGTTTGCCTGTCCCCTGAAAAGCTCTTCCTCCGGCCCCCTCTGGGCCTCCTTACCTACTGAGGCGGCAAGAGGGGCGGCACCCGGAGCCCCCCCGCCCTTGAGTTCGCCCGCATGTCGGTCTAGGAGAAGCCGCCTGTTGCTCCTTGCCTGCGTGGCATATGTGTAGCGCGGCATCCGCGTCTCCTCGGCTTCGCGTGGCGGGCCTTGCAGCCGCATGTCCTGAGCCAAGCCGGCGTGCAACCTGGGCCCGAGCGGCCGGCGGCGCAACTTGCAGCGTCTCCTTAGGGGTCCCCTTCCTCCCCTCGCCAGGCGCGTGGGGTTTCCCTTCTTCTTTTCTATAAAAATGAGAAGGGGGCGTGGGGTTGCTGCTGGAAAGTACTTCCACTCCGC